AAAAGCTGCATAAAGAAAGGGAGGGAAGCACCTACCAGGTTCCCTCCACACGACGCCCATAGACCCCACGCTCCGTCCAACCTCGATCATTGCCAAGAGTAGTGGAGAAGATCGGCAGACCCTCTCGACACCGAATGAGGGTTTGCTGCAAGGGGTCAAACACGATGCTCTTCCTAAGATGATAGAAGGCTCTGATGGCCTTGGCAGGGATAGGTATCCCAAATAAGTCACTCAAAACATGAAACAAACTCAAAATTCCCCATGCGGCGGGAACCAACTGGCTAGGACTAATACCGCCCAGAGGACATAAATCAACCAAGACCAGTAACCAGCGTAGGGCGTAATATAACCGGGGGGAGGTCAAGAATCGGGGGCATAACGATAAAAAATCAGTGACAGCGAACTAGGCAGGCGAAGAGACTCCTGCAAGGCTCACCAATCAGCGGCCTGGTTTTTGGTAGCAGAACCACCCCCGGAGTCTCAGAAGCACATTTGCCGCACGTCTCGTCACAAGGATACGCAGAAGACAATGTAATGGGATCATCGACCTCATACCCAAGAAGCAGTGGTTCATCTCGACGATCGACGGGAAGATAGGAGCATCCAGCTTCGGATCTGGGAGATCTCGTCCCACCCGACATAGACATTTACGGCATAAACCAACCAAAGAATCGAAGAAGAAATGGATCTTACCAAAAAGAAGAGGAAAAGAAATTCACGGAATCGACACGACGAAGAAAGCTCCTCGCGAAAGATGATAATCGACAACACATAAGAGGAAGGGGCCAAAAGCAAACGCGTAGTCCTAGCAAAAAAGGCAGACCTTTTGTGGGAATCCAGGTGGCCCGCTAAAGAAAGATAAGAAAATCCAAAGACCAATCTGCAAAAAATCCTTCCCCTTCATAAAGGCAGACGTTCGCTGTACGACACCTCAACCATAGACTTGGACCCACCTATGGCGCATCGGTTGGGGGTGGGGCCTAAAACCCGGCAATTCAGGGTCTTGGTCCAAGAAACTAGATTGCACACCCTCTGGGAAACTTCCTCCGGGAACAGTCTTTCCAAGATAGCCTCCAGGAACACGTCCTCCGTGAAACTTCCTCCGGGAGTAGTCTTTCCAAGACAGCCTCCAGGGGCGCACTCTCCGGGGAACTTCCTCCGGAAATAGTCTTTCCGAAACAGCCTCCAAACGCACGCCCTGCAGGGAATTTCCTCTGGGAATAGTCTTTCTGAGAAAGTCTCAAGGGGCACGCCCTACGGAGAACTTCCTCTGAGAATAGTCTTTCCAAGACAGCCTTCAGGGGCACGCCCTCCGGAGAACTTTCTCGGGGAATAGACTTTCCAAGACAGCCTCCAGGGGCATGCCCTCGGCAACAGTCTTTCCGTTACAGCCTCCAGGGGCACGCTCTTCGGGGAACTTTCTTTGGGAACAGTCTTTCCGAGACATCCTCTACGGGCACGCCATCCGGAGAACTTCCTCTGGGAACAGTCTTTCCAAAATAACTTCCAGGAGCACGCCCTCCAAGGAACTTCATTCGGGAAAAATCTTTCTGAGACAGCCTCTAGGGGCACACCCTCCGTAAAACTTTCTTTGGGAATAGTCTTTCCAAGACAGCCTCTAGGAGCACGCCCTACGGAGTACTTCCTCCGGGAATAGTCTTTCCGAGACAGCTTCCGGGAATAGTCTTTCCAAGACAGCCTCCAGGGGCACGCCCTCCGGAGAACTTCCTCCGGGAATTACTTTCCAGAGATAACCTCTCGGGAAGATCCGGAAATAGAGTTACAGAACGACTACACCACCGTAACAAGATTTTCTCAATGGCAAAGATGATGTCCAACCCTGCCCCTTGCAGCCTTTCACCCTTCAAAGATTTCATGTGCATGATAGACTATCCAACCTCCTGAATGAGCTCCGCCAGTCAGGAGCAACTGTTGGGCTGCAAAATGTCATTACGGCCCATGAGGCCCAACGCGTGGGCAACGGACGCAGCGGTAACCCGAGGAGCATTAAATGCTCTGCGCCTATCAAAGAAGACCGCAATGATGGCGGTTAGGGAGAGGCAGAGCAGTTTGACAACCTCCACTCTGACTGCACGCATGGAAGAGTTTGGACACATCGAATATGATGACAAAGGACGGTAGTAGGAACCCGACCCGGGGAACTAAATGATTCAGACCCGGGTCCGACCCGAAACCAGGTATTCACTATAAAACCCACTCCTCATGCCACCGAGGGGAGGAGAACCTAGAGCGATAACTTGATAGCTTCATTTCACCAGAGAACTAAAGTCTTTAAAAGCTCTATCAATATCTGTCCGAGTTGATAGAGTGCTCTGTTTCTTAGTTCTTCCGATATCTCTATACACTCCGTCTAGTCACGTCTCCTTTCTGACTACGGAGCGTAATCGGAATGGCAACCCCTTTTCTGTTCATCGAGACTCTCTCTCTTTGTTCTCTCGTTGCAGGCTGACCCATCCCCCCAGAGTTTAAATCTCCCCCGCAGGTCCGACAACCAATCAGATCCTCACGTGGCATCCCGAAATTTGCTCCCGAACAACAATTTTTAACTATTTTGTTGAATAAATATAATTTTTCTGTAATAATTTATTAATATTTTAATTTATCTTTTTTGTTAGTAAAAAAATAAGATCTAATTTCTCTACTTTCTAAACTGTTTATTTTTAATAACTACCTTAAAATTTAGAAACTTTTCTAATAATAACAAAAAAATAAATAAAACTTACATATTTTTCTAAAAACAATAAAACAAAATTAATTAATTTTAATATGAATCAAAATTTATTAAAATTTAGAAATTTTTCTAATAACAATAAAGATAAAATTAATTAATTTGAATCATTATATAATATATAAAAGTTGATGGCATAGTGAATTGAGGGCGTCCACATGAGATTAAAAAACTCAATCTGATTGCTCCACATCAGCATATTCATTAAATAAAAAAAATGTTAAGTATGATTAGGATGGAAAAACTTGATTTAATTGGTCCACATCAGCTTTTAAGTCAAACCAAAAATTACTAAGTATAATTAAAACATCAAAAGTTAATTTAACAAATTATGTCCAACAAAAAAGTAAATTCAATCTGATTGATCCAAATCAATATATTTATTAAATCAGAAAATGTTAAAATGGTTTAAAAGTTTTAAAGTTAAATAAAAAAATCAACAATTAACAATACATGTACAAATAAAAGTAACCATTATCAATTATCAATTTTAAAAAATCTTCAACAACTCGATCTAACAATTAAAACAATGAAAACTGAATAAAAATATAACATAAAACTCTTGGAAGACATGATGGAGAAGGAAAAAATGGTTTTGCATAATTATTACAGCTTCCTAACAAAATTAAATATGAATCAACATGAATCATGTATTATATATACAGTGGTACACAACATCAATAGACTTTCAATACAAAAAACTAAATATTTGAACACATAAACCTTCAAGAAAAAAAGAACGACAGAAATTTTATGGAAAACATAAAATAATACCAAAATCTTAGCAATATTATATTTCTCTAAATCAAATGTATATGTACGTCAAAGTTGGATAATTCGATAGGTGTCACTGTTATTGTTTTACCTAATAGTTTGTCTAAAATTTATAAATAAAAATAGGATAAATTACACATTATATATTAACTTTTTTTATATAAATGAAAATTTCTGTAAAAATATATAATTTTTTAATAATTTTAAAGATAGTAGCTAAAAAGATAAACCAAAATATTAATACAGACTCGCATGTAGCGCGAGTTATATACCTTATATATATATATATTTATAGTTAACTATAGATGATGATGTGTACCAACATAATTGAATCTTTTAAATCCTATATGAATACCTTTAGAGGCGTATAACATCGATTTTTATTATTATAAAATATATTTGTTTTTAAGTTTCTAATTTATTATTAAGAGCACAATAGAAATAAGAACACATGTTTGTAAAGACATTACAATTGTATTAACAGTAACATTAATCTATAGTTTAATTCCCTAAAATTCATTACATAAGTTATATTGGTTTCTTCAATACTCATCTTTCTCATTCTTTTTTCTTTTCCACATACTCCTCTTCGTTTCTTATTTACTTGAATGGTGATACAATTCAAAAAATGTAGATCAATCAGATTATATATATTAAGCATAACAAATACATATTAAACAAATTATATATTATAAATATCTATCAAATAAATAATAATATTGTATCAATAATATAGATCTGTAAGTATTCATGTTCTATGTTTTCTATAAAGGGCTTTCATTTTAAATGTAGATCATAAAATTAAAGCTTTGAATGGAAAGAAAAATCAATGCATCAAAACTCGTAATGCAAAACAATCTGAATTTTTGCACTATTCACACACAATTAATAATTAAAATCTAAAATCTAATTTATATTTGTTATGCTTGATCTGCATAATCTGGCTGGTCTGTATTATTTAAACTGTGTAACTATTTAAAACCATTACTTGCAAACTGCAATAGGGAAATAGTTTAGTTTTTGCTTTCATTAAATATTAGGGTTCTGCTATCTCGTGACTCGTGAAGATCTAAAGATGTCATAAACCGCCAAAACTTGCGGAAGAGTTGACGATAGAGTTTGTGAAGACATGATTATTGAGTTAGCCGGAGATATACTTTTGAGGATATTTTCGTTTGTTCCAAAAAAAGACGGAGTAGCCACCATGTTTCTGTCGAAACGATGGCTCTCTATATGGACGATGTTAGGTAAACTCCAGTACAAAGACAGCAACTTCGATGATGATAATGATGATGATGATGATGAAGTTGGGGAATGAGGATGATGATGGTGCTGGTGCTGATTGTGAGGATGACGATGATGGTGATGGTCATGAAGAAAACAAAAAGAGCGTTTGGTGGTTTCTTGACAAATCAATGCAACTACACAAGGCACCTAGAATACACAGTGCCCTACTGATGCTGATGTATGGAATTAGGTCCACGGTGCACTACTGATGCTGATGTCATAAAGTGGGTTACAAACGCTGTTAATCATGGCATGGAGGATCTTCAAGCTTCGTTGGCCCGTAGATCCGGTCAGCTTGCCTAAGAGCCTTTACTTGTGAAAATCTCTCGTGGTATTTAATCTTTCCCACAAGATTTTTGTGGATGTTCCTTCTCCGGCTTCCTTCCCATCCCTGAAAAGTCTTCACCTTTGCTATAAAGACGATGACTCTGTAGTTAGATTCTTATCTAGCTGTCCTAATCTCGAGTTTCTGTAAGTGAAACGAGTCAAGCATGACAATGTGACGGCGTTTTGTGTGAAAGTGCCTTCTTTAATTTCTTTCGCGTATTTAAAATTTCGAGACGACAATGATGTAGGAGATAATGGCAACAGCTGCTTGGTGATAGATTCCCTAAGATTAAAGTGTTTTATCTTCATTGATCATTCAAAAGAGTATTGCTCGATCGAGAATATGCCTCCTCTGGTTTCAGCAACTACCAGTGATTATACATATCGTGATTACAAGTTTGTAAGACCTATTTTCTAGGTCAAGACTCTCTTAAGTTCTTTTCTGATGAAATACTCTCTCTCTTTCTCTCTCTCTCTCTCTCTCTTTCAAATAGTACTTACTCGACTTACATTGTTTGTTTGTTTCATTGCAGCTCGTGTGTTGTAGCACCATCACCTTCTCTCGACTTGTAAATTTAAGAATATGTCCAGATGAATCAAACTGGTTGGAACCGTTCATACTTTTGCTTGGAAACGCTGCAACACTAAAAAATATTTTAGTTGATTATGTAAGTATCCTCTTCCTCTTCTAGCTTTTAAGTATTAACCCCCCCCCCCCCCCCGAAAAAAAAAGAAAAAGATGACTAATTGGTGGTTGCGCTTAAGAGGTATTTTCTTGTCAACCCGAGGATCTCCCACTTTCATGGAACCAACCGAGTTTTATTCTGGGATGCTTGTCATCACAGGTCGAGTTATTTGAGTGGAGGGGTTATGGAGGAAGACAAAAAGATAAAGATTTGTTGACATACATCCTACCAGACTCTAAATGTTTAAAGACTGCAACAATGTGCTTGAGATCCACCTTCGGTGTTGAAGGTAGAGAGAGATTGACTGAGGAGTTGAAAAACATTCCTAGGGTTTCATCAACATCTCTCAGTTTCCATTCAAATCCTACCAGAGAATGGAGATACATAGTTTAGGGAAAAAAAATTCCAACTTAAAATGTTAGAAAAGTTTGAATATCTTTGTTGGATGTATTTGTCAATCTTCTCTACAACATATAATTTCTTTCCTTTTTTCAAATCTAACTAATTTCATGGATCCGCAAGCTGTTTGGGTCGAACACACCCTGTTTAATGGCTAGTTAGGGTTCTAGAGAAGGTGACTTGCGTCAGAACAAAACCTTTCCCATTCACTTTTTTCAGGACCATCAATATCATGAGCATGCCTTTACAAACAACACCAAGCAAGAGAACAGTAAATGCGATATTGCTTGTGAATAAATGGCTACACGGAGATTCAAAGCTTAGAGAAAGGAAGAAATGGAATTAAATTAGCTGATTTTTGTAATCATAATTTGTGTTCAATAAACTTTTCTATGGTTCTTGATTTTCAGAAGAAATTTGACATCTTAACATGATCCTAATTCTAATAAATGGCCTAATCCTAATCATAACCATCGTTATTGAAACAAAACAATGTACCAGAACAAGAGATAAGACCATCTGGACATTGTGTCGATGCTTTGCCTGCAATATAAACATGACAATATTTCAAAATTTTGTTATGCTAACGGCACTAATTTCAGAATCAATGGACCAATAACAGGATGATGATTTATTTAGTCTATGCTTTCTTACACAATCTTCGTTTTTATTATAACTTTTCATTTAAAATCCAAGATTTTGAATAAAGAAACATAACTGGGACTCACATAAACTAGCTAGACAAAAGAAGAGATAAGCATTGACACTATTACCCAAAATGCACACAAATTAAAGAAACCAAATATACAGAGGGGTTATAGAGGAAGACAAGAAGATAAATATTTGTTGACATACATCCTACCAGACTCTAAATGTTTAAAGACTGCAATAATCTGCTTGAGATCCACCTTCAGTGTTGAAGGTAAGGAGAGATTGAATGAGGAGTTGAAAAACATTTCTAAGGTTTCATCAACATCTCTCAGTTTCCATTCAAATCCTACCAGAGAATGGAGATACATTGTTTAGGGGAAAAAAATCCAACTTAAAATGTTAGAAAAGTTTGAATATCTTTATTGGATGTATTTGTCAATCTTCTCTACAACATATATTTTCTTTTTGAGTATCTTTATTGGATGTATTTGTCAATCTTCTCTACAACATATATTTTCTTTTTGAGTATCTTTATTGGATGTATTTGTCAATCTTCTCTACAACATATATTTTCTTTCCTTTTTTTCAAATCTAACTAATTTTATGGATCTGCAAGCTGTTTGGGTCGAACACACACTGTTTAATGGCTAGTTAGGGTTTTAGAGAAGGTGACTTGCGTCAGAACAAAACTTTTCCCATTCACCTTTTTCAGGATCATCAATATCATGAGCATGTCTTTACAAACAACACCAATCAAGAAAACAGTAAATACTATATTGCTTGTGAATAAATGGTTATACGGAGATTCAAAGCTTAGAGAAAGAAAGAAATGGAATTAAATTAGATGATTTTCGTAATCATAATTTGTGTACAATAAACTTTTCTGTGGTTCTTGATTTTCAGAAGAAATTTGACATCTGAACATGATCCTAATTCTAATAAATAGAAGGAGAGCTTCACCAGACTTGTGCATCCATAAAGAGACAATTTCTTGAGGCTAGTGGCATTCCCAATTGACGAAGGGAGCTCCACCAAACCTGAACAATGAGTAAAACCCAACTCTTTTTGATTAGTAGCATTTCTAATAAATGAGGGAAATTCCACCAGGCTTAAGCAATGGATAAGGCACAACTCCTTAAGATTGATGGCATTTCCTGTAGATGATGGAAGTTTCACCAAATTTGAACAGTAACTGAGATTCAATTTTTGCAGATTTATAGCATTTCCAATAGAAGAAGGAAGCTTTAAGAAACTTGTGCATCCACAGACACTCAGTTTCTTGAGGTTGGTGGCATTCCCAATAGAAGAGGGTAACCCCACTAGACTTAAGCAGCTCTCGAGTTCTAATTCTTGGAAACTAGTTGCAGTAGAGAGATCAGGAAGCTCTTTCAGATTCTCTGAATTACTCAAACTCATCCACTTGAGATTTCGTATGGGCTGTATAAACAAATAAAGATTAACCAACATGTTTAATACCCCTAGTAGTGAACAACATAAAGAAACAATTCTCTCATATAATAACACATTCCATGCCAACAAACTACAAATATATATGAAAATATCAAAAATTATTCCTCTGATTCCTAAAAAAAAAAAGATGTTTTGAAGTTTTTACACATATTAAAAAACATATTAAAACTGAATAATAAATATATTATTTTTTTGTGCTTAACATTTCTCTTTGAGTTTAAATCAATAGTAATTAATTAAATTTAAATATTTTTCTTAAAATTTACAATATATCATTATTAACTCAAAAAAATATATAGAGGGAACTTAAAACATCTATTTATTTGAAAGGAAAAAAATCCTAAAAAATTACCTTTTTAAAGTATATATGCAATATTTTATTGAGCTAAATAAATGTACCCAAAAAAAACAATTTAGAGATTTCAAATAGTTTTACTTACTTGATTTCCTTTCCATAACTTCTCAAGCTTGGATTTAATTTAGAAGGCAAACATGTCATTGGAAAAAAAGTCCAATTTAGTGATCGAAGTTTTCGAGGCATATAGGTCAAACCTTGAGGTAAGCACAGTCTGTCACGGTTACCAAAATCTCTGAATCTGATATAATGGAGATTAGACATTCGTTCAAAACCTTTATCACTTATATTTAATACGTCCTTATTCTGAAATAAGTTGAGATCTATTCCTATAACACTTCTACCACCGTGAAAATATATTTAAGAAGGTTAGTTATCAAATAATTAAACTCAGTTTGTATGGAGAGTGATGCAAATGAAAGACTAAACTTACTGGATTATCATAGGCGAGTACTTCAAAAATATCTCTAGCATCAACCAAAAATTGGCCTTGCTAAGGCTCTCGGAAAAATTCTTTACGAACAATTTATCTACCAAGTTGTAAATCATTCATCTCTACATATCCCAAGATGATAGATATAAGAGACTTCTCAGCTAAGACGTGAAACCTTTGTGCCACATCCCATAACGTCTCCCCAATATAATCTTCCAGTGTCTCTATATTTTCACGATTGAAAAAACATGCTATATGAAGAAACAAAACTTTATCTTCATCACATAATGAATCATAGCTGAACTTCAAAATGCTCTCAATATTTCCATTAAGGCGAGTCCTTAATCTTGGTAATGCTTTTTTTCCACTCATGCTTGGACATTTCTTGGAAATAGGAGCCCATGACCCTTAATCCCAAAGGGAGCTCATAGACAAGTCTCGTAACTTCCCTCCTAAGCTTGTCAAACCGTCTTGCGGGATTGTTGATTAAAAGCATACATGCAGAAGATTTGTACAGCTTCATCGGTTTCTGGAAGGTCCACCTTGTAAACATGGTCGATCCTATGTGCCTTCAAAAGTTTCAGATCATGTGTTGTGATGTGAATCCGGCTTCTAGGACCAAACCACCGAATTTCTTTTGCCAAGGCATCTAGTTGTACTAACTGATCCACGTCATCAAGAATGACAGGCATTTTCTTGTTATTCAAACGTTCTTGTGCAACACGTAAGTGAGGAATCTCTATGTGTTCATGGTTGATTATTTTTGACATAAACTGTTGTCGTAGTTTCAACTTCGCACTGTAGTTATCTGAACAAGCTGGTCTTGTATAAATTGCTTTGAAATTCTCCATGAAGACGCTTAGCTGAAAACTGGTGGGGAGTTTGTTATACAGAAATCTGGCTATGGTGATTTTACCAATCCCCGGAGGACCTCAAATCCATATCATCCTCACTTCATCTGAGTCTAAGAACAGCAACATTTCCGTATTTTCAAAATGACATCTCATAAAAACTAAGCCGTCAAAATCCCTTAATGATGTTGAATTATTCAACTTGTTCAAAATATTAATTAAGATATTTTTCGATCATGGCCGCTTCATTATTCCTATCAAAGGTAAGATCAAATAGAATTTGTCAATTAAATACTATATAGTCATTTTAGGAATTAATATAAATGCATTTTTTTGCTGGATATTATTTAAAAGGCAATTCTCAAAAATACTATTAAAAAGTTTTTGTTTCAAAATTATCTTCACTAGTATTTGTTTTCAAAATTACCATAATTTTTTATTTCTTTTTCTAAACTAAATTCAATAGTTAAAAAAAAAAGAACTAACCAGTTTTTTAAATGCTCTCCAGCGATTATGGCAACTTCTGCCAAAGCTTCTCTCCATCTCCTAATGCCGTTTTTTGTTTTACCCACACGAGTTTTTCTGAAGACTTTCCAAAAATCTCTGGTTTGCTTAGTTGGATTTACTTGGTAGAAAATGGCCATCACTATTTGATCCAATTCTTTTCTGCACCTCATGATCTCAGCCAATTCATCCAGGCACCAGGACGAAGAAGCGTAGTCTTTGGAGAGCAAGACAATCGCAATCTTGGATACTCTGATTGCTTCTTTGAGTTCTTGATCGATCGACTTGCTCCTCTCGATATTACTATCAATGAATATGTCGATCCCCTTTCTTCTGAACTCTTTCAAAATGTGACTGAGAAAGGCCTTGCGCACATCTGCCCCGTGGAAACATGGGAAGACATCGTGCTTCCGGCTGCAAGAAAATAAAGGTTCCGGAGTTGGAGGAGTAGAAATTATTTTGTTTTCTTGGTGTCTGAATTTTCCATAAACCATATAGATCAATATTGTACCCAAAAGCATGAAGATTGTAGTAGCAACAGTTCCAAGGTAAAGGTAAAATTCCATTATTGTGGAAGAGAGAAGATTTAAGATCACAAAGCCTTTTTAAGAAATATAGTGTAAAGATTAACCGTTGCATTGACTGAGAGAAATATGTGAACCATAACCGTTACTGTCATGTAGGTTCCACCGTTATGTCAACATCAGTTTCTGAATTTTTCTTCTGGTTTGAATTTTTAATAACACTTGATTCCAAAGGTCTTCGATTTTTATTTTTACTCCCTCTCCATATCAAATACATCAGCTGAATTGTTTGTCAAGAACTAATGTAAATACTCTTAATATGTCATTAAATTCATGTTATGTTAGGTAAATGGCTGTAAATGGGTTGTGTAGACATCTCGATTTCGATTTGAACAACTTTGTGAAATTGTGTCCTTGAGTCATTTGTTTCTTTTTGTTTTGAGAATGCTGTTTTGTTATATGTAAAAAACGCCTCGCGTCTATATTGTTTATGTATCATTTTTACTTCTTCTCTGAGTCTGATCATACAGGAAGAATCCGCAACTCAACTTAATAGCTACCGCTTTTAAAGTGGACAAGATACATATAGAACACACCAAACAAGTCATTAAATTTACACTGTTCCTAAATTAAAGTTGCCAACTTTGAGAAAAGCAACTTGACAACAGAGTCAAAGCAAAAGCAGCACATAAAACCAAACCAAATTAAGAACTGAAGGGATACATTCACACTCACACATATGAAATAGCTTTTATCTTCCAAACTTTCTTAAGTTTGGAAACTCAGTGGCAACATTGGGCAGATTTGGGCAGTTCTCGATAACAAATTTTCTCCAGTTTGGAAGATCTAGAGGATTCAAGAAAGTTTTCTTTAATTCATTTAAACCACCTAGGCTAAGGGATTCAAGGTTCCCGAAGGGAGCAACAATATCGGGATGCACATTGCTAATACTAATCCTTTCTCTCTATTGATTATTTCTAATATCCTTGGTGAATTCCTCACAGTTAGGTACCTGATATTTTGAGCGAAAAACAGCCAGGTCAAGTCCTTTGAACCTTTCAAACTGAATATTCCAACTGACGAGAGATGCTTGACAACTTGAGAACTCGTACATTGAAGCTCTTCTCTTTCTTCTCTTTCACAAACTATCATTATCATTGAGACCCTGCAGTTCACAAAATCAAGGCACTGAAGACCAGCCAGAGCTGCCGTGCTTAACCATACAATCGTTTCTGACATATTCCATAGATATAGACCTGGAATACTACTTGCCAACCACTCCATGTTTTGGATACTTTCCAGAATCAAAGCATCCGCTATGTTTGCTGTTAAAATCTTTAAGTGCTCGAAGAGTTGAAGCCCTTTCATTAATGTCGCATTAATACAAAGATATAAACCATATAGTTTCAACACTTAAAACACTTGATAAGCTTATTACTATCTCTTCAATGCTTTCAAGTAAGGCTCTGCTTGTTTCTTAATCTAGAATAGTGCATCTAGATTTAGTATCTAGATATATCATTTAGATATTATTCATTTCTAAAGCTAAGTTTTGCATTTAGATGAAACTTATTCGTTTGTTAATTCATAAAAAATTCTGAATGCAAAATATTTCAAATAACTAAAAAGGTGTATTTTTCAATTCAATTATATTTTATTTATAGTCAAAATGTTTTTTTTTAGATTATATAAATTTACAGTTTTTTTGTGAAAATAGAGTTTGATAAAAAAAATTAACTTGACGGAAAGTATAATTTTAACAAACAAACTCAATTTTGCCACTCTAAAGAAAAATGATGTTTTGTGATTTAAACAAAATTTTGCAGTTTTTATGGGAAATATGAATTTAGTTAGCTTTCTGTCATATTACAGGGCATTTTTATTTTTGCAATGCAATTGCTGCATCTAAATTCTACTATTTTTATTATCTAAAATATTCACATGCTAATTTAATATTTTTGATTTTGCATCTAAATGTAATATCCAGATGTTAATTTAAATGTGTTCAAACAAACAATATTTGAGCATCTGTGTGACATCCTGGCCCAAGCCCATGAAGAGTTTTACAGACAAATGCTCATTAGCCCAAGGCCCAATCAGTTTTAACCTAGGTATCCTCCCTATTCCAGTATAAATAGAGAGGCTTCCCTTCAGAATTTACAGCAAGAAATTCTCCAGCGAAGCTCTGCCCAATCTCGCCGGAATCCCTCGCCGGAGCCGCCGCCGCCATTGCCGGATTTGTCTTCAGAGCCGCTGCTGCCATCGCCGGAGTTGTTGCCGGAGCAACAATCCGCCGCCACCAGGAAAATCGCCGGAGTCATTAGAACGTGCTCATTCGTGGCTTCTTCTCGAAATTCCAGTCTTCTCATTCATTGCCAATCTTTTTAGGAGGGACAATTTTACATATTTCTGCTTTCAAGCGTTCATTCAATCTCCCTCCCAATGCAAGGAAACTATGGCTTTCTCTGCTCTGATAGGGGCTTGCTTCTTCAAGCTCTGTGGCTGTTTCTCGCATTAGACTTCATGGTAAGTAGATTTGATCATTTTTCAGATCTAGATCTACCTTTTCAGATCTAGATCTACTTTTTCAGATCTAGATCTACTTTTCTTTTTCTACTTTTTCCATATCTGGATATTTTTTCTAGTTATAGAATTGTTTGGGGAATATTAGAAATAAAGGATGGTTTTTGTACCTTCTTGTCCATCTACACCTTTTAAATTAACTTTTGTAATTCTATACCTTATAATAATCTAAATCCGATTATACCATCTAATTTATTAATTTTATTTTAATATAATTACTTAAAAATTTTAATACATCATTTGACCAAAACCTCCTAAAATCATCACTTATTATTTATTTTAAATCCAAAATAAATAATATACATGTTTGTCTTGATAAATAATAATTTTTTATTCATTGTTACCATATCTGTATGGAATGACCCATGGATTTCGGACTCATACCCGAGATTAGCAACCTGCAAGGGGTATAATCTTTACCCTGAGCTAACAGTCAATCAATTGATTAATCAATCCACTTCAACATGGAATGTACCCGTACTCGAACAGTTAATTGTACCAGTAGATGTATCCCTTATAACTGGAATGCCAATTGCTAGGCATAAGAGACAGGATAGTATGGGTTACAAAAACTAGTCGATACACAGTATAATCTGGATATGTTTTGGAACACAACACTCATTATTTGCGCGCTAAACCACAAGTTTATGGGCCCAATGTAAGTGGGTTACATGCATATGATTGGTCAATCAAATGTCCATCAAAGATGAAATACATCTTACGGCAAGCTATTTCCGGTCATTTACCGGTTACAGACCGTCTTCAGAACCAAGGAATATACTGTGATCCTCAATGTAGCAGGTGCAGGGCCGAACAGGAATCAATAAATCATACATTATTTGAATGTCCAATGGTTGCTCAAGTATGGTCTTATCAAGCATTCCTAAACCATTACTTGGTTTCCCAACATGGGTGTTTTTTGTAATATGGCACACTTATTCTGGCATTTACCGAACCACGAAGATAAAAAGATATAACCATGGTTACTATGCTATATTTCGATAATGCGGAACAATAAGTTTTTTTCGAATATCGATCGTGACCCACAAGAGATTGTAAGGCTAGCAATAGCAGAGTCTAATGGCTGGGAGGAAGCAGAAGTGGATACTCCGGAGATAAATCCATTAATAGTTCAGGACATTATTGTCTCTAGATGGGGTTTGACATGTCAAACGCAGAATTGTGATGGTTCTGTCAATGAAATGAGGTGACGGAAACATTAATGGGTGCAAAGCATGTACACCGGAGTATCTCACCTCTACATCAGAACTAGAGGCTGTGATTTAGGCAATTCATTGCATGCTTGATGCAAGGAGGTTGGAGGTAACTTTTCTCAAAGACTGTTCCGATTCGATGAAGATGGTATCAAACCCAACAAAGTGGCATGCTTTCTCCTTAAATCTGGAGGAATACGAGACCAGCAGAAGGAAGTTTGTTTTCTTCTCAATATCACAGATTTCACGCGCGCATAACATGAAGACGGACAAGTTAGCACGAGGTGCTCAGACATGCCTTCATTATCTTAATTATGTAAACTCAATTCCACCGGCTTGGTTTACTGAGGCGGTCTAGGAAATTGAGGCCGTTGTAAAAAAAATGATTTTAAAATTGTTTTATAGAATATAATTGTATAGTTATGTTAACCTGCAAAGAGCAATCATTAAATATCAATTTTTTACAAAGAGCAAATTATTATAATTTAATTTTTAAATTCTAAATATACATAAGAATTATATAAAATCAGATTAAATATTATTAAGTTTAGTATTGTTAATACGCTATAAACTAATTGAGTTAATATTTATAAACTATTAAAATTTTGATATAATAAAAATGTTTTTAATATCAAACATTTAATTAAATTATTATATAATATCTTACTAAAATCTTTTTAACTTGTTAACCAAGTAATTTTGTTTGTATAAATTAAAACTATATAATATTTTACTTTATTAACAAAACTAAAATATTCATAATATTATATTCTTTCAACATATTTAATTTTTTTTATATATTGACTTTTTGATATAATATATATATTTTTAATGAAATTTAAGTGTTTCTATTATTTGGTTAATTTATATGGTTCTATTAAAAACCATATTAAAACAAATACATTAATATGAATATCAATTAAATCAAGCTTCCTACTTTTATAAAATTTTTTAGAATATATGTTTTTTAGAATAATTTATGAACCGTCTATTGATCTACATATCATGATTTCTAATGTAAGACTTTTAAAACTTACTTTTATTTATAAATTATTTGAGTAATTTATATTTATTTTTAAAAATTTAATTTATAACACATGTATAAAAAAAAATTTTTTTACTATATGGATGATGTGATAATTTGTTTATTTTTTGAAAATAAGTTTAAATAAATATAAGAGAAAATACATTTTTGGTAGAATTTTATTTTTTGACAGCATATTTTTGGTAGAAAATATTTTAGACAGATCCTTTTCTCTGCCATGCACTATAGCAGGATTCAAATTTGAGGACTGCTTATGCGATTTGGGGGCCAGCG